AAAAATAAAAAAATAAAAAAAACAAGAGAATGAAATCTTGTATATGTTTGTATATGCTTCCAACTTCTAACCACCTTCACAAGAGAATGCCTTTTGATGGACAGAGTTGGTACAATCATCCCCATTTTTAAAAAAGAAACCGGGAGATAAAGTAGCTGTCAGAGGGTCCCCTGGGAAGATCCCGGCTCATCTGTGAGAGCCAAAGATACTAATTGGCTTTCCTGAATATACTCTTCCACAACAAGGGAAAAATGAAGTCCAGAATATAGACCTTCAGAGTAAACCAATATTAAATTCTATACAGCAAGTAAATACATCTTTTTTTTTTTAAGTATACTTAGATTATTGAGAGAGGAATGAATGAAGCTGAGGGCAAGGAAGAAAGAGGAGAAACCCAAGCACTGACAGCGCAGAGCCCATCGTGGGGCTCCATCCCACGAACTATGAGACCATGACCTGAGCCAAAATCAAGAGTTGGATGCTTAACCAACTGGGCCACCCAGGCGCCCCAAATACACCTTTTTCTTTCAATTCAAGTACAGCTGACCCACAAGGTTACATTAGTTTCGGGGGTACAGAACAGAGACTTGAGACCTCTATGCTTGCACTGTGCTCCCCACAAGTGTAGCTACCGTCTGTCTCTACACAACACGACCACAGCACCACTGACCACATTCCTTGTGCTGCGTCGTTCATCCCTGTGGCTCACTCATTCCATAACTAGAAGCCTGTGTCTGCCTCTCCCCTTCACCCATTTTGCCCATCCCCCCAGCCTCCTCCCCTTTGGCAACCACCAGTGCGTTCTCTGTGAGTCAATGTACCTTTAGCCAAGCATGTTTCCTCATTTTCAGGCGCCCAGTCCACATGTCTGTCAGCAGCATCTGGGTGCAAGTATGTGAAACGAAGGGCCGCAACCTTCCAGACACGGCCAGTTTCAGACAGGTGGAATCGCTCCAGTTCTTGAGTTCGTAGGTCAGCAGTTTCATGGCCATTCTTTCATTCTGCTTGAATGCCTTCTCCAACACATCCAGGGCAAGCTGGCCAAACTGTCTGTAATGACACACAGTTAGTGGCAAAAAAAAAAAAAAAAAAAAAAAAAAAAAAAAAAAAAAAAAAAAAAATGCAGGTGAGAGTCCCAGTAACATTCAAAACGATGAGAGAGGAGACTCAGGAAAGACCGATGCAAAAGAATGAACAGCAACAGAATAACCTCAGATTGCAAAAGCTATTTGAAAGCGGTTGCTGCTCAGATGAACGGTTCTCCCTTTCCAGAATTTGGTTTATACCAGGCATGGCTGAGCTATCTATTCATGGAGAGAAGCCTGTCTACACTACAAACCAGGCTATATATAGCTTGGTTTGGGGCTCTCTGACAAGACCTAATAAAGAATTTTTTTACAGAAAAGACTGTTCAATACTGAACTAGCGATTAAGGAAAATCATGGGGTCACCCTTTTTTTCCTTAACATTTTAGAAAATAAATAGATGACTTGAGTAAGAAGCTAGACTTGGAGACATTTTTGGGGATGTTGTTTACTCTAAGAAGCAGACCCTGCTATTCTCTTGGAATCTTTTTTTTTATTATTTTTAAAAACTGTGTATATATTTTGAGAGAGAGAACAGGGGATGGGCAGAGAGAGAGGGAAAGAGAGAGAATCCCAAGCAGGCTCCGAGCTGTCAGAACAGAGCCTGACTCAGGGCTCAAATTGAGCCTTCCAGGTGCCCCTCTCTGGAACTTTTATTTTATTTTATTTTATTTTATTTTATTTTATTTTAAAGTTTATTTATTTATTTTGAGAGAGAAAGAGAAAGAGTGAGCAGGAGAGGGGCAGAAAGAGAGGGAGAGAGAGAATCCCAAGCAGGCTCCATGCTGTCAGCACAGAGCCCGATGTGGGACTCAAACCCACAAACTGTGAGATCATGACCTGAGCCAAAATCAAAAGTCGGACACTTAATCGACTGAGCTATCCAGGCGCTCCTCTCTGAAACTTAAAAGTCACAATTTCACATTAGTTTCCATTAACTCTAGCCCCTCTTCTTTCCTCACTATTATAATGCTTCAGTAATAAAAAAAAAAAAAATCAAAACTATTTCTAACTTTTCTATCTTTTGCCATCATGCTCTGGTTCTTTGACACATAACACATTTATTTGTTTTCCTGCCTGAAAGGTACTACAAGTAAACAACAAGTTTTCACTTAACTTAGTATCAAAGAGTATGAGAGTTCAAAATCATTAACTGAACATTCTGTGTGAGGAAACTAGAGTCCTGAAATCGGGCCAACTAATCACCCAATTAGTAAACAGCTGGACTAAGACCAAAACCCAGCTCTCCTAATTTGAGGACCAACCCTCGACTCTCTTCTGCTTGTTCCACAAAGCACCCTGAAATACCTAAAGACCCTCATTTACAGGAGAGCCCAGGAAATGCACGGCAACAAGTCCATGCGTCTTACAAGTTCTAAGTTGAGGGAGATAAAGGTGTCTAACCATTCTAGAACTGTCGATGTTTAGTATGAAGTGAAGAGAGAACTCCTACTTTGAGTAATTTTTCAACTCTTCTGAGGCATCATCCACCATGTTGCTCTCCTTAGCTTCATGGGCCATGGCTCGGTAGAGTTTACAAGCAATCACTGCCTTGACCGTGGCCTCCTCTCCATGCTGCCAGAAGAACATGGCCATCTTCTGTCTTTTCATTAGCACAGCCCAAACCAATAGGTCATTGTAAGGGTAAATAAAGCCAGTAGACTCAGGGTCATCTGATATATTTTGCTCTTCTTTTGACTTCTTCCTTGATTTATGAAGGACTACAGACTTTTCCTGTTGGAAAATAAAATACAAATGGAGTCCCAAATACTCAGATGCATGATATTTGACCTAATGAAACATATCAGGTATCCTAAGAATATTTTTTAAATCATTGACAAGAGATGGAAATAACAATGGAACTTTATAAACCAGAAATCAAAATTTTGGTCTTTTAGGTGATCTATTTCTCATTGTGTCTGACAGATCCAGGGTCCAGAAGCTGAGATACCTTGTGTTTATTTAGCACAACTTAAAACACTACGCCTTTGGGATAGACCCAATAACTATATGACAATTTTTAATTTCTCCAGGAAATAGGTCAAAATAACATACTGGATAAATGAGAGCTATTCAATTATTCTAACCTTACTTTATAAATCGATTCATTATCTTTCCCTTAGAAAAATGTCACTAGTATTGACAACATGTATCCAAACTGATCGGTTTTGAGTTTCCTTTCCTTTATTCTGATTATATTCCTCTAGTAATAGTAATATGTAATAATGAAATACTATTCTCCGCCTGGCAAGCTAACACTTTACAGCCCATCAGAAATGCCACTGCCTAACTCCCCCATGTGCTTCTATATCACTATGTGCGTATTTCTATTTCAATATTTATCATGCTGCAATACTATATTACTTCGGGGAGAGTGGGATCATTTCTCAGTCATCTTTATATCTTCTCCACCCATCTGCATCCCAAATTCCACCAAGCACCCAAAGTAATGCCTGCTAAATAACAAGATTCAATGATCATTCTTTTTGATAAAAGGGGATAAGAGAGAAAACTATAAGCTTCCTCTACTTCTATAAATAAAAGGAATTTGTATTCATTGATGGTGATCAAGGGTAATTCGATAAACTATCCATTCATCCTAGGAGCTATGGAAAGCAAACCTCTTTGAGCCAACATAGGAATCGTGTATACAGAAACTTGAGCAAAAGCACGTAGCCCCGAGGAAAGTGAACTAAGGGAATGCGAGGAGCAGTGGAATAGCAACGTTGCTCCCAGCGCTCAGTTGTTGTTGGAAGACGGCGGTGGCACCCACCTTCCTACGGTACTTGCAAATGGTCTATTGGTGCCTCCCCGTCTCCAACTTTAAATGAAGAAATGGTCTAATCTGCAAGAACAATTTTATTTTCAAGTCTAAAAGTAAATAAGTAGTGGGGCACCTGGCTGATCTCAGGGTTCTGAGTTCAAACCTCACATTGGGCAGAGAGATTACTTTAAAAAAAAAAGTTTCAGGGGCGTCTGGGTGGCTCAGTTGGTTGAGTGTCCAACTCTTGATCTCAGCTCAGGTCGTGATTCCAGGGTCATGGGATCCAGCCCGTGTCAGGCTCTGTGCTAAGTGTGGAGCCTGCTTGGGATTCTTTCTTTTTCTCTTTCTCTCTCTCTCCCTCTCTCTCTAAAAAATAAAAAAAATTTTTTTTTCATTTCTAAAACTAAATAAGTGGTACCTTGAATTTGTAAGGCTGGGCGGTTCTAATGAACTGGGAGTGCAGAGTGCTTTCTGCGGATTCCTTTCTATTTCCTGAGGGACGTCTTCGGTGCAGAGGGGGCTGGGAACGGCTTTCAGCAAAACTGGTCACTTGCTGGCATACGTTATTTTGTTTTTCAAACAAAACAAAAAGGGAAATGAATATTATTATGGTGACAATGAACATTTCATTTCTAGACAGTAATGAAAACAAAATATTATACTGTATCAGGTATCCTACCAAGTATCCAATGGTTCTGTCTCTAGCCCGTAATTAGAATTAATTACTCACCCCACAAAAGCCTCTCATGATCACCTCCTTATTAAGCACAGTTATTTCCTAACGTCTGAGAGAACATGCTCTTTTGTTCCCTATTATATATCTGCATTCCTTCTCTATGTGGAAATTCCATTAAAAATCAATGGATGTTCTATACCTGGAACGAGTTCAGAAGAGGCAATAAAGATTCACAGTTCTGATAAGAGAAAGTTCCCACTCACAAACAACTCCAAGGTTAAGTTAGAAAGCTATGGAACTTCTCCAGATATTATGAATCACCACTGCAATTCCAGTGATTAGACCCAATAACAACATAATTTGTTGCTTATCAGCATGAAGCTTTCATCAATGAGAAACCAAAAGAAGCATTCTTAAAGGGGCTGATACAAACTATGGCCTTTGAGCTACTTTATCTATCTATCTATCTATCTATCTATCTATCTATCTAAGTTTACATTCTACAGATATAAATTAGAGAAATGATGGGATCTGGACTTCTAAAAAAATACTCAAATTATTATCATTATCATTGTGATACAGAATTAATAGCATTGTCAGTAGTAATCATAATGACTATTATTATTCATACTCTATACCCTCCATATACTAGGAATATGTGCTTTCGGGTGTTACTTTATTTAATCCTTTTGATGAATTTATGAAAGAGATGTTCTATTATTATTCCCATTTTATAGATAAGGAAAATGACACACAGAAACGTTAAGTTTCTCACTCAAGATTTCACATGGAGCAAAACTAATCCTCTGTCCCAAATCTCTCTGACTCCAAACCATGTGTTTGTAAGTGCTACAATCTAACTCACCATCAGAATTTACTAATAACTCTACTCCTTCACCAGAAAACAGTCAGAGAAATGGGTAGTAATTTCATACCATTTCAAAAGAAAAAAACCACTAGGGGTACTTGCCTAGTAAGTTCCCCGCTGGGCTACAGCGAGGCCACAGTCAGTCCTCATACCTATCCCAGGGAACCACACAGCAAGGAATACTTAGTTCACGTGAAGGAGCTCACATGTCAAGCGCATCCCTGTGCCTTTGAAATCTCAGGGAAGATTATTTTCTCTGTGAGATTTGAGTTTCTTTTTGTTTTACTCTTTTATTTCTTACAGACAAGTTGGGCTTTCACTTTACCTGATTCTTTATAAATAAAGGTGGCCTCATATTCTGGACTCTTCCTGTGAGCCCACCCCAAACCTCCTTTCTAGTCTCATCCTGCACAACCTGTCAGCACGGCACCAGCAGCAAAGGCCTCCTTGCCACTGCAGAAACATATCCTCGTGTCCACAGCACTGTGCCTGTCACTGCCCCAGAATGCCCCGGACCACCTTTTCTAACACTTCCATTAACCTCTAAGAAGAAAGGCTCTCTTCAGTCTACCGGTTAATAACAGCGGTTTTAAGAAACCAGCAATGTTTTCTCTGCTAATCAACCAGGCAGCAACTCTAACTTTGCATTCCTAGACTTTCGAAAACATGATGGAAAATAAAGTATGCACAGCGTGTGTTTTTACCTAGTACACTCTGCATGCATTTTCCAATATAACCCTTACACACCTGTGCCAAGATTGTGGTTTCCAGACTACGGACTACTAGGAGTTCACAGATGTAAGCCCAGTAATCTTTTCCCCTCTATACTTTCAAAAGGAGAGAAAAGAACTGGTCATCCCCCCCTCAAATCTTTCTCAACACATTGCTTCTATGGCAGTACATCACATATTGTATCCTGTGCCATATTATGGCTAGTTATTCATAAATCTGTTTCCTCTGAGAGTTTCTAAACTCCTGATCTTTAGGTCCAACCTAGACCAGCACTGTCATTGACACGTAGCAGAGACTCAGTGAATGTCCATAAACACAGATGTCCGTTTTAGAAGCTATTCCCATCTGAACTTCCGAAGCCATTTTTCGAAACGTGTAACTCCTAGTTATCATCCCCAATTTTACTCAGGTACTTACCAATTGTGGCACCTTACGTTTTCTGTAGAGGTTGTTGTAGAGGGCTCTGAAACTTTTTCTAGTGTAGCTGCTGCGATAAGCTCCACCAATGAGGTATTCGATGACCAATCCAATGTCGATCAGTGTTATTCTGTAGCCTGAGAGAAGGGCATGCTGAAACAAAACCATGTAATGGACTGTAACTTTCAGTGCCTTTTTTTGGTCTGGTTTGCCATCTGTTAGAACATAACCCATAACCTTTGCCTCAAGTGCAAAGAGGCGGACTCACGCTTTTCAATCATCTTTACAAATTGGTTGATTAATATGACCAACTATTGATACAGTCTGCTTGTTCAGATGGAAAAACGAATTTGGCCTTAATGTGTTTTTAGTTTCACAGACATCAAATGTGTGCTTATATTTGCTCATTCAACTCTCTTTTTTTTCTCTCTCTCTCATGCATACACATACTTTATAATAAAATACACTTAAATATAGTATAAAAGATTGTTTTTAACGGGAAATTGTGGATCTACTATAGCAGAAGTCAAATAACTGGAGGATATCACCAAAATGTGCCATTTTGACATATTATTTTGAATAAAAGTTACTTAAGAGACAGCCTGTGCCAGAAAACACTCAGACTGACTCTGTCCCCTTGAAAGCAGGAAATAACTCTCCCTGTAAAAGGTACCCTCCCTGTACCACGAGATAAAGAGACATCCTTTTCACCAGAGATGAGAAATTTAGAGTGGAGAAGGCTGAATAAACAACCTTGTTACTTTTTACTAATTTACTCCCCCTGCCAAATTCTGTTTAGAACTCCTTACTAACCGAAGCTCCCAAAGTTAACTTCTCTTTGTCCTGTCAATTCCTCACAGATGTATTGTCTTTTTGTCTGAAAAGTATAAAAACTGCCTGCCTTGGTCATTTCTTGAGGTCTCATTTTCATTATTGGGTCTCTGTGTGCACACAATAAAACTTTGGGTGTGTTTTTTTTTTCCTGCTAATCTGTCGCATGTAAAATTTAATTCTTAGTCCAGCTGGAAGAACCTTGGACTGAGGAAAATTTCTTCCTCCCCCTCAATATACTGAATGTAGGTGATCCAAAATCTTTCACCTCTCCATTGAAATGGCTATAGCCCTCTGCACTGTGTGGACTATATCACACACAACATGAGAATATGGAAGGAAGTAGAGCAAATAGAAATAAGGAACATGGAATGACAGAACAAAGTAAGATATCAAAACATGAAGCTACCGAAACACATGTAATGGTGAGCAGGAGGGCTAAGCAGCAGATTTCCACGTACATGGGTCTTGGTCTAAATGAAGATTACTTTGACCACTTAAAACCCACCTTACTACCTCTTCGTAACTGTTACTCTCAACTACCATTCATAGTACACTTTTTAAATTAAAGTATAATTGACAAACACTATCCTATTTGTTTCAGGTACATATCAAAGTGATTTCATATTTTTATACATTATGAAATGGTCCCCATGATAAGTCTAGTTATCACCTGTTGCCATAAAAAGTTAGTACCATACCGTTGACTATATTCCCTATGCTGTACATTACATCCCCAGGACGTATTTATTGTATAATCTCCTTCACCTATTGAGCCCACCATCCAACTCTGGCCCTCTCCAGGAATCAACAATTTGATCTCTGAATCTGCGAGTCTGTTTCTGTTTGATTACTAGAGTCCACATCTAAGTGAAATCACACAGCATTTGTCTTTCTCTATCCAACTTATTTCAACATTTTTAAGGCACACATGGTGCTGAACAAGATCTTTGAAACAAACAGATTATGAACAACATTCACAAAGCTTTGAACAAGAAATAAGGCATTTATATACATATATATTTGCTTATTTATAAATAGATGCAATAAATGATATAAATATGTATTTACATAGTTCACATATGAATGAATGTAAATAATTTCTTTTTCATATCCATAATTTACTTTTTGCAAGGAATACCAAAACTAATGTTCTTAGTTGCTCCTAGTTAAAAGCAGATTTAACTTATCCCATTCCTTTTTCTTTCACTTACTGTAATGGAATCAAAGTTCAAGGAAATAATCTACGGAGAATTATTTTGATCCAGCAGAAATCACGCAAACTAAATTTATATCACCACGGACTCTTTTCCTTACGTCTAACTTTGCCAACTACACGTCTTCCTCCGCCAAGGCTCTCCCACCACGTCAACATAGCCAGAAAGCCTGGACACTCTCCATCAAGAAAACCAGACTTCAGAGAAATGAGGGAAGTACTTTTAAACTGTGCCAGGGATGGATTTTAATCATGGGGACAAAAAAAAAGAGTCTCTCCTAATTGTCTGCAGATGTGAATAAAAGTTCTTGGTGATTAAAAGAGAAGGAATTAAGGCACAAAAGTCTGTTAAAGTGGGAAGGTTTGGGGGCTCCTGGGTGGCTCAGTCAGTTAAGCATCCAACTTTGGCTCAGGTCATGATCTTGCGTTCATGAGTTTGGTCCTGCCTGGGCTCTGTGCTGACAGCTCGGAGGCTGGAGCCTGCTTCTGATTCTGTGTCTCCCTCTCTCTCTGCCCCTCCCCTGCTTGTACTCTGTCTCTCTCTCTGTGTCTTTCAAAAATAAATAAAACATTAAAAAACAAAAAAAGTTGGGAAGGTTTGGTAACTAACAGATGATTTTATTTGAAGTCTGACCTAACTCAGAGTTCAATGCGAACACTATAAGCAGAATATGAGCAAGGGTATAGAGCAGTGTGATTCCTCCTGGCTCCCTAGAACAATGTACAGGCTTAAAAAAAAAGATAGGGACCCCAAGCTATCACTTATAGTCAAAAACAATAACAAAACAATGCAAAGCACATATTAGTCCTCCGATAAAGACAACCGGACAAGGACAAAATTTCTTTATTTTCAGCAAATATTATCATCATTGGCAATACTGTTGTATCATGTTGAGCTAATGTTCTGATTGAAAGTTTTATATGTTTCCGGTTCATATTTTATCAGAGAAAATAATTATTAGTTAGTGCCACTTACTTGGTAGATCAAATCCTTAAAAACATAAAATAAATTATAAGGAAAAAAAACCTTCCGAGTATTGTTTGGTGATGAAATTATTCAGAGGCGGAGGCAAAGAGGGTAGGTAATTCACTAGAAAATCCAAATGTACATTTTACAGGGCAAAATCTGGCAATACCTCAATCACAAAGCTAAGGCAATACACAAAGAAATCTGTCCGCATTCGTAATTAGGTTACCTGCTTTACATCTCGGACGAGATGATGCAAGAGCATATTGGTGGGTCCTTGTTTCTGTCATAAAGAAGAAAAGAAAAAAATGATTCCTTTTAATTACCACGTACAAGGGGAAAAAATATGTTATTTCAGAATGAACAAATAACCCAGAATACTGACAATTTTCTTCAACCTCTTTAGTAATGAAGCTCACCCCAATTAATTATTAGAAAGGTACTCCCTAAGAGAAGACATCAAAGCAAGATGTATGTTTTTTTAATTTTTTTAATGTTTGTTTATTTTGAGAGAGAGAGAGAGAAAGAGACAGAGACAGAGTGTGAGCAGGGAAGGGGCAGAGACAGAGGGAGACACAGAATCCGAAGCAGGCTGCAGGCTCTGAGCGGTCAGCACAGAGCCCGACGCGGGGCTCCAACCCACTAACCGTTGAGACCGTGACCTGAACTGAAGTCAGGGACTTCACAGACTGGGCCACCCAGGTGCCCCCAAGATGTATTTTAAAGAGATATATACGTAGATAGTAAAAACATAATTAACTTTATTTTTTTCAAGAGATAAAAATAAATTTTAAATAGTTTATAGCTATCCTTTATCATATATAAACTACACAATTACAAACCGCATCCATCACACAATTACATTCCATCAACAAATACTTATTGAATGCTTACCACACTCAGGCAAGTTTTGAGGGAGTCAGTGAAGAATAGAAGTACTTTCTTCATAGTGTTTACAGTCTAATTGAAGAGAGTGGGGACTTAATTGAGAAAATAACCTAAACTATCAAGACTGTGTGTGTTCAAAAAGAGTTGCAAAAAATACGTACCATAAGATCAGATTTACTGTGAACTGGAATATTCAAAAAGGCAGGCCTGGAATAGGGCTTTGAAGAAAGGGTGAGATTCAAAGGCCAAGAAAGGACATTTCAAGAAGGGTGCTTGGCTTGAGTGAACGGTGTTTTTACAGTGAGTAAGCTGGTCTATGTTCAATAAAGGGTTTGCATAGGAAAGTTGCAGGAACAGACTTTTAACGGTGGCCTTAGGTTGAGATGCCTCCAACAACTCAATAAAAGCAATTTGTCCTTATTCACATTATTGGCTTTAATTATAGTCTTAATGTGGTATTTTCTTAGATGAGTTTATATTTCTATTCTGTGTAATTAATTAAAATAAAAAACACAGAAATGACTATAGGATAAAATAGATTTGGTAAGAATGTTTGCCCTTTGGTTGAGAAATCTCTAATTTATCTTCGTACATGAATATTCAAGGAGACGAACATTTAATATTCATTTAGCTTAAGCTAAAGCTTAAGCTAATTAATAAATAAAGCCTAAGGGAGGTGGTTGATGGGATGTTCCAATACTCACTGTATTATAGAGCTCTTCCAGTCGGGGGATGGTAAGAAAGCGATGGAGGTTCACTCCATATTCTATTAGGAGCTTCACAAAATCCACTCGATCCATCACCAAAGCATCTAACATTGCTTGCTCCAGTGTGCCAGGCTTCGGAAGGTAGAAATACATAAGAGACATAGAGATAATTAAGAAAGCAGAAACTTGAAAAAGTAGAAATAACTAAAGAATTACATATATTTGATCTCAATAGAGACACAACAATCATAAAATACAATTGTAGTAGAAATGTTCAGGACCTGAGTGAAGAAATAATAAAAAGTGAACTTGAAGGCACAAAAGACACCTTAAATAAATCTGTTCTGGTTCCAGAAGACTGATAATTGTAAACATCCCAAATTAATGTGTAGGTTTAATGCAATTCTAATAAAACAAAAATCAAGGTTATTTTTTTGTTGTCGTGTTCACTTGGCATGTTTTCATTTAAACTACACTGGTATCTGAATACAAATGGCAAATTAAAAACACTCATTTAATTTTATTCTGGCCTAAAACTTTACTAAAATTATAGCAAAATAATTTTTCTTAAAGAAATTAATCCACAAGAACACAGAGGTCCAGAGAGTAACATTTTGGAAGTCGGAAAGGAGATGGTCAAGTGGTACTTGACTTAGTAGTCCCCAGAATCCCCCAAGGTAAAAGTCCCCAGAAATCGAAACTGGGAAAAGCCAAGAACCAAACAGATCTCTGCCACAAAATCCTGGCAGCTCCAGGATGACATCGATGTACAAATAGTAAATTACTAATGTTGAGACCTTCCCAATCCTCTTCCCCTGTCTGACTTCCATTAACACTAGCAACAAGGCTTTTACCTTATCCAGGCAGGGGTCTGGAGGATTCTTTTCTGGTAAAGGAACTAAGAGAAAAGGCAGGAATATGCTGTCATCTCAGGTCCCCCAACAAACGGCATCCAGATCACTCCACCGTGAAGCTCAAAACTACAGCTAAGCTTCACCTAGATGCTCAGAATTTCTAAAGAGCTTTCTCTCCTCCACTCTTAAATAAAAAGCCCAGAAAAAACACACCACAAAACATCAATCAGTAAGAATCAGACAATGCAGGAAGAAGAAAACCTCAAACAAAAACAAAAGAAAAACAAAAACAAAAACAAAAAAAAAAACCTATCAATATCCTCAGCGAAATAAGATACTACATTCAGGATGCTTTAAAAAAAAAAAAAAAAAAAGGCAAAGAACAAATTTGCTCCTAGAAATTAATAGTATGCTACCAGAAACAAAAAGCTCCACATAAGGCATGAAAAGGAAAATTGAGGAAATCTAGCAAAGGAAAGATATAGAAGATAAAAGGGAAAAGATAAGATTAGAGGAGCAGTCCATAGGCCCAACATTTAAATGCTATGAATTCCAGAAAGAGAACCCAGAAAAAACAGGAAGCAAATTCCCCAGCATGGAAACATGTGATTGCTAAGTTGAAAGCATCTGCCCAGCATTATGGATATCCAGACTCACAGCAGCACGCATCATTGTGAAATCGGAAAACACTAGAAAGATATTTTTTTGAACTTCCAGAGAGGAAAAGAAATGGTGACAAAGGAGCAGAAAACAGAAAGATTTTTATTCTCAATAGCAATGTTGAATGCTGGAAGCTAAGCATTCAGAATGAGTTCTGGTCTTTAATTAAAATATCTCCAAACATGTGAGTTCTCAAAATGTTTCTTTCCCATGTGCCCTTTCTCAGAAAGCTACTGAAGGATGCACCCCCATTAAAATAAAGCAGCAAGCCCAACAAGAGGAAGGCATGGGATACAGAGAACAGGTGCTCCACTACAGGAGAGAGGCAAAGGGAATCTCCACTATGATGAAGGTAGATTCCAGCACGATAGCCCAGAACCGGGAACAGCAGGCAACCAGTCCAGATTGTAGCAGTGAGGACAGCACCACAGAGAGAAATGTTGAGAGGTCTCTAAAATAGATGAATCAGAAAAGAGCAATATGATTTGTTATTTAGAAATATGGAGATTTTGAAATATCGGTACAATCAAAAAACGTCAAAAATACTTGGGTCTCCCGGTCAGCAGGCCAAAGAACTACTGTGTTTCTTGTTGTTGTTGTTGTTTGTTGTTGTTATTGTTTTAGTGCCTTTTAGTACCATTAGCTGTTTTAAAGATGGGGCACCTGGGTGGCTCAGGTAGTTACGCGTCTGACTCTTGATTTTGGCTCAGGTCATGATCTCACTGTTGGCAGGATCGAGCCCCGCATTGGGCTTTGTGCCGACAGTGTAGGGCCTGCTTGGGGTTCCCTCTCTCTCTCCTTCTCTTTCTGACCCTCCCCTGCTCATGCACACGTGTGCACATTCTCCCTCA